TTTTTTATTTTTGCACAAGTCGAGGAGCGTGTCAGGTTACATTTCATTGTGTGTTATACTTGTATGACTATGCATGTGACAAATAAAGAACCTTGAACCTGAACCAACTGCCTATCAAATCATTTAACAAATGATCAAAGCTCAGATTAGGCCACTTCATCCAATAAGAAAAAATGTTACCTCAGTTCAGCAAGGTTAAAGTGACCTGATTTATATTAATAGTTTACAACATAACTAATTGGAATTAAATTCATATTTACAACTTACAATAGTTTATATGATTAATCATAATCTGTCTGAAATGAAGCTTAAAGTAAATCTATAGGTAAAGATGGCATTCATAAATGTGCATTATTTTATTCCCTTGTGTTATCTTTAATTTCATCACCCAAACCGGAATTGCAAATAAAATTTGAATAAACTCATGTTGGTTAAATGTAATTTTGATCATAAGACAGTTAAATCTTGATGACTTAAGTAAATCCTCATTTAAGTTAAATATAGATCTGTCCTACACCCCTGTCTTTTTCCATAACAAAAAAAAAAAAAATGTAAGCAGCATAGAGCGCTGGATGTAAGCCGACAGTTTGACTGGTGCTGGAGCTGCAGCCTTAAGTTATCCATAAGTTAATTCGAAAACAGCGTTGTAAAGTTATGAGCTCGATTGTGAGATTTGTCTCAAACCAGTATGGGTCCTCCCAAGTTGCACATACAAACACACCAAGCACAGTGCAGAGAGAGAGCGCGCAGCTTAAGAAGGAAAAAAAAAACACTGCAGCTTTTTATTTTCCGTGGGTGGGACATCCAAAACGGACTTTTGCAAAGGCGGATATCAACTGTAGTTCTTTTGTCGTATAGCTATGTTAAGTATATTGAACACGAAACTAAATTTACCCAACTAGCACCATTAATAATTTTAAACTCTCACTGCATGCTAACAATTCAGCATACTGAATGAACTAAGCTAGCTAGCTCTTGTGGGGCGGTTTTGGCCAACTACCTAATTGGTAGTGAACTGATAATGCTGCCTTGGCAAAACTTAATATTTGACCACGACTGATGTTACTACAGTAAGTCAAAGCTAAAAGAACCCGAAATGTTTGTGAGCAAAAGTTAATTACCTCAACAGAATCCAGTCCGAACCTGCTCCCTCCCCTTGTAAAACGTGAACATAACATGCATAATGAACCGGCATTAGAAAACAAATTTTAACAAATAACCCATCAATTACTATGACTGTGGTAGTCGTCTTTACAATCACATTACCACACAAGTTAAATGCAGACTTGGTATAAACCACCCCTTCAAACTTGGTATTGACCTCTACTACTCTGCCCGCCAAGAACTTCTTTCAGGTCTTTTCCCCAAACAAGATGGCGTGTTGGAGGTGTGGGATTTGTTTTGTTTTTGTTGCCTTAACATTAAAGTCTCTTTTGAGCCATATTAATACAATTCATAGCCGTAGTCCAGACTTTAGTGTGATATGTGGGATTGATGGTTGTACCGAGGAATACAGGAACCTAACCTAACCTAGTGCTAATACATTATTTAACTTTTTAATATGAACCAGACTATGGAACACTAAAGTGTTAAAAATGTGTCATTTAATTTTTATTTTACATTATGTGTTTTTATAATATTTTATTAAATATTTATTTCACTACGACTTTTTTGTAATAATAGAAGCATTTTGAGACACTTTAATTTTAAGCACCTTTCTCCTCCGTGAATCGCAACCTTATCGTGGTGGAGGGGTTTGTGTGTCCCAGGGATCCCAGGGGCTATGTTGTCTGGGGGCTTTTGCCCCCTGGTAGGGTCTCCCATGGCAAATTGGTCCTGGGTGAGGGACCAGACAAAGAGCGATTCAGAAGACCCTTATGAAAAAAACACAGAGGGA